TCACATATGGAATTTCTCTAAGTATCTACTCAGAGCCTACACCAATGTATGAGCCTGCTCGACACTCCACAGGGGGATGGATGTAGTCATGTAAGTATGTACTCATTAGCATTTCATGTGTATTATGAGACCTTAATATTATATAAAAATGTGTTTATTTGATAAAAATTAAGTGTTTAAAACTAATGTAAGTGATTTTCGCCTCATAACAAGTCTTTTTTTCCCTCCAATTTAAATTTATTCTTGTATAAATGGATGTTAAGGCAATAAATATGTTGAATTAATCAATTATTTAGCTTATCTTTATAGATTAATGGATTGTATTTGTGTTTCCACGCGTTTTCATATTTTTTCCGCGTTTCCATTGCGTTTCCGAAACGTTTCCGTTTTTTTTATGACCGAAATGGTACTTCGAAACAAAATTTCGATCCTTGCACTGAGGTAAGGTAGAGAAAGGAGATTCTAGTGATTGTAAAGTCACCATCCATGATTTATTGGACATCCTTTTGATCAAAAACAAGAATATTATTAAAAATAAAATGCAAAAAGTACATGAGAGGACAAGGAGTCCTCAATATGTGAAAGAGTGAAAAACAAAGAAATGAAAAGGCTAAAAAACTTACAACAATAGAATATGAAAAAAAAAAATTTGTAGTGTCAACAATTTGCACACTTTGGCCCCCTATGCTACTTGTTAGAGTTCTACTTTTATGTTTTTCTACTTTCCTATTATGTTACTTGGTGTTGATTATTGGTTTTCATCCCAGTTCAATGTCGTACCAGTGAGAAGGTGATGTGATACCTATGAGTGATAGTGAGATAAAGCTAGACCAAAATTAATTTTTTAGTAACAACAAAAAAATATGACAACTTGCAGTTTAACAAAAAACATCATCATTGTTTGAGCACAATGCAAAAATAAGATTCATGTAGCCAAGAATAATTGGGTCACACAACAAAGTATTGTTGGGTGTTGGTCAATTAAAAACTAAGAATATGTTCTAAAAAAAAATGGGGCACTGAGGTAAGGTAAAAAGGAGATTCTAGTAATTGTAAAGTCACCATCCATGATTTATTGGACATCCTTTTGATCAGAAACAAGAATATTATTAAAAATAAAATGCAAAAAGTACATGAGAGGACAAGGAGTCCTCAATATGTGAAAGAGTGAAAAACAAAGAAATGAAAAGGCTAAAAAACTTACAACAATAGAATATGATAAAAAAAAATTCCAAGTGTCAACAATTTGCACACTTTGGCCCTATGCTACTTGTTATAGCTCTACTTTTATGTTTTTCTACTTTCCTATTATGTTACTTGGTGTTGTTTATTGGTTTTCATCCCAGTTCAATATCGTAGCAGTGAGGAAGGTAATGTGATACATACGAGTTATAGTGAGATAGAGCTAGACCAAAATTAATTTTTGAGTAATAACAAAAAAATATGACAACTTGCAGTTTAACAAAAAACATCATCATTTTTTGAGCACAATGCAAAAATAAGATTCATGTAGCCAAGAATAATTGGGTCACACAACAAAGTATTGTTGAGTGTTGGTCAATTAAAAACTAAGAATATGTTCAAAAAAAAAATTAAAAAAAAATGGGGCACTGAGGTAAGGTGAAAAGGAGATTCTAGTAATTGTAAAGTCACCATTCATGATTTATTGGACATCCTTTTGATCAGAAACAAGAATATTATTAAAAATAAAATGCAAAAAGTACATTAGAGGACAAGGAGTCCTCAATATGTGAAAGAGTGAAAAACAAAGAAATGAAAAGGCTAAAAAACTTACAACAATAGAATATGATAAAAAAAAAATCCAAGTGTCAACAATTTGCGCACTTTGGCCCTATGCTACTTGTTAGAGTTCTACTTTTATGTTTTTCTACTTTCCTATTATGTTACTTGATGTTGTTTATTGGTTTTCATCCCAGTTCAATATCGTTTCAATGTTTTCAACCTAGTTTAGTGTGGGTTCAATGGTTTTCGGGCATGTTTGGTGCTAGTTTAGTGGCTTTCAGACCATAGTTACTAGAATTCACTAAACTGCTAAGAACCCACGATCTAGATCCATCGATCCCGAATGGAGTGGGTTTGTAATCTAAACCACTAAAATTTGTGATCTCAAATTGTACACATAGCACAAATATAAAATACATATTATTTAACGGGTATATAGATTTATAATTATATATTATTTTAAATAATAAAAAATCGAGCACAAATACAAAATAAATAATAATTGACTTAGTGTTTATGAATGTTATATGATATATAATATTGTATAGTGGTAAAAACGATCTAGATAAGAGTTCCAAAATGAATTGTGACTCAAAATATCGTATCAACTAATCATACCCCTATCGTACCGCGTACCCTTATCATATAACAAAACAACCCACAGTCCAAATAACATTGTTTCAGACTAATTCAATGTCAACTCATTTGTTTTTCAGCCAGATTCAATGTCAATTTTGGAGTTGTGGTTCAACCCCTCTTTACCTGATTCAAATCTGGTTCTACTTGGTTTACCTATTTTCAATCGTTGTGGTTAAATTTGTTGTTGCCTATGGTTTATTGAGTATTGTTCGTTCTGTTCATTTGTGCCATTATTGTTGTCTTTCAAATCATTTCTTAAACTTCATATAGAGCAACCGCCTAGGTTTGTTGCTCACAAGGAGTATTGTGGTAGTGTGTGTCGACTGAGGAAGCCTATATATGGTCTGATGCAGATAACATTGTTTCAGACTGATTCAATGCCAACTCATTTGTTTTTCAGCCAGATTCAATGTCAATTTTGGAGTTATGGTTCAACCCCTCTTTGCATGATTCAACTCTAGTTCTACTTGGTTTACCTACTTTCAATCGTTGTGGTTAAATTTGTTGTTGCCTATGGTTTATTGAGTATTGTTCGTTGTGTTCGTTTGTGCCATTATTGTTGTCTTTCAAATCATTTCTTAAACTTCATATGAAGCAACCGCCTGGGTTTGTTGCTCACAAGGAGTATTGTGGTAGTGTGTGTCGACGGAGGAAGCCTATGTATGGTCCGATGCGGTCACCTAGAGCTTGATTTCGTTATACTTACTATTTACATGGACATATTGTGACCCTGTTCATAGAGATTAATGATCAACTCGGCTTTTTCTTACCAAACCATTAGTGCGATCCACCATTTGTAGCCTCTGCTCCAAGTTGGGAGTTTTTCCATTTCTATGCTCTAGCTTTAGAGAGAGTTTTAGTGTTCTACTTTCTTATTATGTTACTTTCTTATCATATTGCTTTCCGATTATGTTCTACTTTCAAAATATGGCAATTGTCTTCAATATCAATCTGATATATAATAGGGTGTACATTGCAATATTGTTTCATAATTCCTACTTCCTTCCTATTATGTTCTTCTTTCCCTACACTCCAATATTCAGTTATTCAAGTTTCCACTATACTTAATCAAATAGAACAAAATTCCGTCAAAAACTTCAGTTGTGGAAAGCCTAAAGAGATGCCATAAAAGTTTTTTTGCACCACAAATCTTCCCAAGTAGTCATTCTTTCATTGAAAATCATCTCATTTCATTTCAAGCAAACCACCCAAAACAATACCAAAACAGCACAAACGCTATAAAAAATTATCTTTGTAATTTGAACCAAAGCCCTCAAAATGAAGCAGAAAAACTGGAACACAATCTTTGTGACTCACCTAAGGAACTTCAAACAAAAAGTAAAAACCTACCTATTTAACATGGGTAGGAAAAAAACTAATCCTTGAGAAATGAATTTTCAAAGACAATACCTTTTGAAAAAAGAATTTCCAAAGACAACACCTTTTGAAAAAGAATTTCCAAAGACAACGAGAACACCTCCTCTCACTACCTTTGAAATTTCCCCCATTATCTTGAATCCCATATTTACTTTTAATCAAATAATGACATGAACTATTGACGTAAATGGGAAATGTCCATAACCATTTAGCGAGTACTGAAATTTTTTTGGTGCTCAAGTTCCGCAAAGCAAAAACACTCTTCAACTCATATCTAGACTCCCACCACATCGAGGGATCTTTCTTGCCTTCTACACTAGCCTCTATAAAAACCATCATCATCTCCTAAATTCATTTCAAAACCTTCAAATGCATCGTAAACAGGGACATACCATAAATAAGAATACTCTCAAGCACAAAATGAATTTATGTAATTGTATGCCGAGACAAAAATAGCTTTCTTTCACTCATCTAACCTCTTTCCACAAGAAATCATTGATGCATGTACTCAATAAGGCTTGACTTCAAACTAAGAATTAGTCAACTGGTGCTTGGCATGTAATCATCAACATCAGGGCAAACCAGGCCAAAGCAGCAACCCACAGTTTGCCTGATTTCAAGCCTACCCAATGGGCTTATTTAACTCCCACTCACAGGCCTTACACGAATCAGTCTGGGACCTATTTTCCATTGCCCTACCAAGCCAGAAGGAGGGTCAAGAACACGACGATTGCCATACCCATTGGGATATCAGAACACCCGTAGACCTACACCTACTGAAAATAGTTGATCCCTAACCCTATAGGCCATATGGAATTCGAGGTAGCCAGTAGATCATGAGCCTTTTTTCAAGTCTTACTAAGCATGACAAAGATGGAAGGACCAGGAACGAGAATGACACTAGAGTTGGCAATTGGTAACCTTGTGAAACAATAAATGAAATCAGTATTTTCACAGAAGTCGAAAATACTGATTGGGAGCTTCATCTTTATATGAAGACATAAGCTTTTATTCAGCTCGTAACAATTGATACTACTTCCAGCCCAGGGGAGGGAAAAATTAAGAGATAATCCACTTAGTTAGTGTGAGCAATTATATAGAGGGCCTACTAACGTACCACCAGCCAGTGTGAATACCAATGCTGGTAAAGCTATATACCAGGATTAACTTTAATCAATAATAAGAATAAAATATGATAACTTGCAATTTATTAATTGTTAGAGCACAATGAAAAAATAGATTCACGTAACTGTGCTCAAATAATTAGGTCTCTGTGACACTTGGTCATTAAGTTTAACTGTGCTCAAAATTGCATTTTCCTTATCTAGTGGTGTTTTTGAATTTTTTTCTTGAAGTCCTATTGGTAAACAAAAGAAGAATAGAAATGAATTTACCTTTCTGGGCCGGCCCAAAGGTTTCCCAGTAAATTTTCTAGGCATTTTAGGCCCAGCAGCCATTGGCGGACGACCCCTCCGCTTCCCCGGTAACACTTTACCGTCATTACTCAGAGGACCCAATCCTGCAGCGGCATCACCGCCACTGCCAACAGCAACTGCCACAATCTTCAGCGGCCTGCCACGTGGCCTTCCGGGCCGCTTCACCGTGGAAGAACCGTCCTTCTTGGGCCTGCCTCTTGGCTTTACACCAGCAACAACGCCCCTAGGTCCACTTCTAGGAGGGCGTCCGGGGCCCCTCTTCGGCCCACCTTGGCCCAATACTACTGACAAAGATTTGGGCCTTGGAGGACGTCCAGGGCCTCTCTTAGTCAACATTCGGCCACCAGATTCTACGCCCACCAACCTAGTCTTAACCTTTTGTGGACGGCCTGGGCCTCTCTTAGCCAGCATAGGTGGTGGTCCATCAACAAGCCCAAGCGAAAACAACATTGCCTCGGATCCAACAACTCCAGGATTAATCTGGGCCTCATGATTAGTATTAGTCTTGGGCTTAGGAGGACGACCAGGCCCACGTTTTGAACCGCTAGAAGAAGGAGAATACACATCAGACCCAAGAACACCAGGATTAATATGGGCCTCATGCCCAGATACTGGTGCATACACATCAGACCCCAGAACACCAGGATTAATATGGGCCTCAAGCCCAGCTGTTGGAGGATACACATCAGACCCAGCTTCTCCAGGATTAATACGGGCCTCAAGATTTGCATTGGGATTGGGCTTAGGAGGACGACCAGGCCCACGTTTAGGTCCATCGGAAGAAGGAGCATACCCGTTGGCATTGTTACCAGGAGGAACAGATCTAGGGAGCATGTAAGAGTGTTTGACCATGACGAGTTGACCCGTGTTCCTCAACCGCTTCAAATGGTGGGTCAACAAGGCTGAGTGACTCGGTGGCAGGTTTGAGTACTCCTTGTCTATGTACTTCGCTATGGCTGTTCTACTCGACCCATTCCTTTCCTTCAACGCCGTTATTGCCGTCGTTATCATCTAAATAGAACACACCCACCAAGAAAATCAAAACAAAAATACAAGAAGTGATTCTTGAACAAAGAAAACAAAAAATTCAAAATTCGTTTACCTCAGCATATGGTGGGTGGTTGTGGATAACGGCATGGCTTGGGGTCGGGTTCGCTGCATAAGCTATGTGAACGGCTGGTTCGTCAGTCGCCGGTGGATCAAGCCCTGGGTCCATACGGGGAGAGAGAGAGAAACAGAGATTTTGGAGAGAGAAATAAAAAGGGTATATTGAGAAGAGGGAGAAAAGAAAAGGGTTTGGTGGTATTTTTAGGTTTATTGGATTGGGATGAAATGATCCGACAGCTGAGGTGGGCTGTGTAATTTTGGCAGCAATGAGTAATGACTTTTGGAGTTTCAAGCATCTTTATCTCCTTTATTTAATAATATGAAATCATTACTTTCCATTTAGCACCCTCAATATTATTGTATTTCCATTTACGTCCTCTTTCTCTTTTTTGGGTTGATAATAGAAAATCGTTCTAACCAATTTTTTATTCATGAATTTAATGAATATCTCGGAGTTTATGGGGTTCATTAGATCTGAACTCAAAATATTTAAGTTTACAAATGCAATCCAAGAAGAGGAAAGGAGTGAAAAGAAAAATTATTAGCAAGTTTCATTAAATATTTAGGCCTTTTAGATGAGAAAACAATATTGGACTCAAAACAAAACACCTAATAAAAGCACATGATGCTTGATGGGCGAGTTCTAGACTCAAGAAGGATCTTAACTCCTTGGTCGCCAACACTTCAACTCAGCAATTCTTCATCTCGGCTCATCTTGACTAATTCAAACCAGTTGAGATATTTATGCTAGAAGGCGTCAGCTTCTGTTTCACTTTCAGTGCCGCTTCATTCAAACAACTGTTGAAGATCTTCCAATTGTACAATTTTTTGACCTATATAAAGGCCAAGCTAGGTGGCATTATCTATAAAACCTTCGTGTATTTATAATTACGTACATATAGATACATATATATATATATATATAATAATAAAATAGCTTACAATTCAAATTTCAAAAGATAAACAAAATGACTTTTGCTTTTCGTAGTTGAAATCGCTTTAAATTTTACTTTAAAGTTAATCTAACGGCTAATATTAACACTCTAAATTTAATAGGAAAAATATAACTCTAAGGGTGTGTGTTGGAGTGACTTTTTAAAAGTACTTTTAAAAATTATTTCTCATAAGTATTTCTCACTGTTGTATAGATAACAGTGACAAGCGCAACACCCTTGGACACAACACCCTCAAGCACATTACCACATCATGACAAAATATATCTCCACCGCATTTGAAGTGACAAAATGGACTCTTCACCAAGGGGGGACAGAAAGTAGAATCGCAGAAGTATGGGGCAACCTCGGCACGACGGCCTAGGGGAATCTTTTATGAATCTTCTGTAAAAGCCTACATGTCCTATGAATGATCGGACATCCTTTATAGTCTTAGGAGCAGGCAAATTCCCAATCAGGTCTATTTTTACTTTGTCAACTTTCATGCCTTCAAACGACACAACGTGACCTAAGACAATGTCTTGTGTTACCATGAAATTACATTTTTTCCAATTAAGTACCAAATTGGCTTCCTGACATCTTACCAATACCTTCTCTAGGTTGGCCAAACATGAATCAAATGAGTCACCACAGACAGAGAAGTCATCCATGAAAACCTCTAAAAAAATTTTGATCATGTCACTAAGCAGGCTCAGCATGCATCTTTGGAATATTACAGGAACGTTACAAAATCCAAATGACATCCTTTTGAATACAAAGGTGCCAAAGGGGAATGTGAATATGATATTCTCTTGATCATTTAATGCTATCTCAATTTGATTGTACCTAGAATGCCCATCCAAGAAACAGTAAAATTCATGACCTGTAATTCTCTCTAGAACTTAGTCAAGAAAGGGAAGAGAAAAATAGTTTTTCCTAGTTACCAAATTGAGTTTTCGATAGTCAATACACATCCGTCATCTTGTGACAACTTGAGTTAGTACTAGTTCATTTGCATCATTTTTTACCACTATGACCCCAGACTTCTTGGGCACAACTTGGGTTGAACTAACCCATTTGCTATCAGAGATGAAAAAGATTATCCCTGCATCTAAGAGTTTGAGCACTTATATTCTCACAACTTCCTTCATGTGAGGGTTTAGTCGTCTCTGCATTTGACTAGAGGGTTTTGAATCCTCTTCCAAGTGTATAGCATGATTGCAGATCAACGAGCTTATACCTTTCAAGTCAGCGATAGTCCACCCAATGGTGTTTTTATGACTTTTAAGAACTTCAATCAGTTTAGACTCTTGCAAGTCTGTGAGTTTAGATGAAATCACCACTAAGTATGACTCGTCCTCTCCTAGGAATGCATATTTGAGGTCAGATGAGAGAGGTTTCAATTCAGACTTTGGTGGCCTGACACTTGATGAGAGTGGTGTTGTGCCACTTGGTGAAAGTTCCTTGAATTTGGGGGCCCATGTCTTAACAGTATGAGCGGGGCAATTCTTTGAATCATCATCTGTTTTCTCAATGTGATAGATTTTGACAGAGAAGATTCAGAGGGGTTTTCACAGAATGTGTTATTCAGATGTTCTTGAACCAGCGACTCAATGAAATTTATTTCTCTCTCTTTTTTGTCCTCTCATGGGTGTTTGGCAACATTAAAAATATTCAACTCAAAAGTCATATTCCTAAAGGTTAATTTCAGGACCCCATTTCTGTAATTGATTAATGCATTTGAAGGTCGACTAAGAATTACGGGAATTGGGTTCTTTGAATATTTTGTTAGCTGAGTATCTAGAACAATGAAGTCAACAGGGAAAACAAAGTTATCCACGTTGACAAGTACATCTTCAATAATGCCCTTAGAAATTTTTACAGATTTGTCTGCCAACTGGAGTGTGACACAAGTGAGTTTGAGTTCACCCAGACCCAACTACTGGTAGAAGAAAAAAGGGAGCAAGTTGACACTAGCTCCAAGGTCAAATAGTGTTTGTTCGATTCTGAAGTTTTCAATGACACATGACACAGTCAAACACCCTAGATCTTTGTATTTTAGAGGGGTTTGTGTTGAAGTAGGGCAGTGGCTTGTTCTGTTGGGAAGACTCTTTTTTGAACATTTTGGCTTCTTTTGACTATGCACAAGTCTTTTAGAAACTAGGCATAAGATGGACCCTATTTGACTGCATCCAAAAGTGGGATGTTGATTTTTACTTGCTTAGAAAGCTCTTAAATTTTAGGCTGATTATTCAACTTCTGTACAGTTTTGAGTCTATAAGGAAAAGGAGCAAGAATAGGATATAGAGGTCCTCTTTCCTCTGAAGGTTCTGGCTTTTGTTCAATCATAGACTCAGGTTCTTCTAGTTCAATCTCAATTAGTTCAGGCTCAACTGGTGAGTTGACTGGGATTGACTCAGATTTTGGCTTGGAAATTAGCACGTCTCTAATGGTCTAGTCAATCACCTTGCCACTTCTCAGTGTAGTGACAACTTGGACTTAGTCTTGTGGAGTGTCCATGACTGAAGGATTTTTCACCTGAAATTAGTCTTGTGGTGATTTTGGTTGGGCAGAAAACTGGCCCTTCTCATGTGTGGCCATGGATTAGGTCAACCATTGGATGTGACTTTTAAGATCCTCGAAAGATTGAGTGGTCTGGATTTTGAAATTAGTAAAAGTCTGAGTGAAACTATTGTTATAGTTCATTTGACTTTGCATGAACTGATTTAGGGTATTCTCAAGGCTCCTCTTTTGTGGTGGTTGGTATGGTTGATACTTGGGAGGTCCTTGAGGTGGTGGGTGTGAATCTTATTGTTGGTTCATGAGAGTTGGTTGTGTGTTTCTCCAACTGAAGTTCGGGGGGTTCCACCACCTTGGATTGTATGTTTTAAAGTATGGATTGGAGTAAGGATTGTTGAAGTTAGAAATTGTATTTGTTTGCTCTAACAGAACCTCTTTGAATGCTGGAATGGTAGGACACTCCCTAGTAGGGTGTCTTGTCAGCTCACAGATCCCACACAATTGTTTTGTGGGAGAGCCGATACCAACTTGATGAACCTTTTTCATCACTAAAGCTTCAATCTTTCGAGATAGGGTAGACATTTTTGCTTTTTGGTCATCATCATCTCTGAAGACATACTTATTACCCCCTTGGGTAGTAAATGATTTGACTTCAACAATGGTAGGGGAGACTGAGTCCCACATCTGAGAACTGTCAAATATGGTGTCAAAAAAATTGAATGCCTCCTCCAGACTCTTACCCATGAACTCTCCTTGAGCAAACATTTCGAAAACTAACATAGTCTAGTGGGCAGGGAGTCATAAAAGAATCCTACCAAAGTCCAATTCTCAAAAGCATGGTGTGAGCAGGACTTGAGTAGATCCTTGAATCTCTCCCAACTTTGATAAAAGGTTTCTCCTTCTTTGACCAAAAAATTCATGATCTACCTTTTCAATGCATTAATGCGGTGTAGAGGCAAAAACTTTTTGAAAAATTCATTTGTAGTGTCCGCTAATCAGGTATTGAAAGAACTTTTAAAGAATTTAGTCATTGTTTAGCTTTATCCTTTAAAAAAAATGAAAAAAGTTTCATTTTGGTTAGCTAAGAATTGTCTTGAAATGTTCCACATAATTCCTTAAACTCTTTTATGCGCAGATATGAGTTTTCTGTTTCGAGTCCATAAAATTGAGGGAGTAGTTGAACTGTCCCTGTCTTTACAGTAAATAGGGGTGCATCTTCAGGAAAGATAAAACAAGAGGAAACACAATTTCTTGTGGAATTTAAGTAATCCCGTTGAGTTCGAATGTTAGGTACTTCCCCCTCTCTCACAGGAACCTCTCCTCATCTCTCATCATTTGTCATTCTACTTTCACAAGAGTCTGCTACTAATCTAGGTGAAGGTGGTTCCTGTTGATTCACCGACCCAGAAGATTCTGCCCGCAAATTTTGATAGTGAGGAACGTCCTCAGACATAAAAATAATTAAAACAAATTTATACACAGTGAAGTAAATATATATACAAAAAGAGAGGTCTTTTTATCTTTTACCTTCAAACAACTTTTATGGTTCCCCAGCAACGGCGCCAAAAATTTGACTTGATTCGAAATGTGTACACCCAAGTGCAGGAGGTCAAGCTGTAGTAATAATCAAGTTAAATCCGTAGTTGAATCCACGGGGAAAAATGATTGGTGTTTTGAAGTAAGTAGTGACAGAGACCAAGTAACTGAAAACCTTGAGAGTTTGAAGTTATGGGGTTTGTT